CTTTGGTAAACTCCTGCTTCTGGTCAGCCATTACTGGTTTCAAATTTATCTGAACATTCTTGGATTTGCTAGTTATACTACCTCCACGGGTTTCTGCCAGCTTGATCATCTTATCTACATCTTTTAGTGCTTTCTCTTTTAAAAACAGTGACATGTCAGTTGAACACGTGGTCATAAACTGTTCATGTACAAATAGGTCTGCTAGTCCCTCAAAAGTATTTTCACACATGGCCATATCAGTCCATCTGGTGAAATATCGCTGCAGACGTGCCACAAACCGAAATACAGTTTCTCCAGTGTCCAGTTTGACTCCTCTGTACTTCCAATGAAAACCATCTTCAGTAAGTTCATATCGTTTCAGTAAAGCTACTTTTAATGGTTGGAGACGGCTTGAATGGGTAATGAAGAAAAACTTTAATATAAGTTTTTCTTCAATAGCCATTCAAACCTTCTCCAACCATTATTAGTCTCAAAGTGGGTTCCTCGTCATCGAATTTCAAAGCTACTTTAATTCGTCATAATCCATAGCATCTTCTGACGTCATGCTTGCATATATTTGTAGGTCTTTTCCTGTGAGAAGTGGGTTGAGACCGACTGCCCAGTAGCCTTTGTCCCAGTTCTGACTTTGAGCGAGTCTTTCATACCTCTCCAGGAAAGCATCCATGTCATTTTTATGTTCATCAAATTTGGGTAGCTTGGGTCGGCTAGCCCTGACTCCATTGTTATTCTTGGGTCTTTCGTCATTCAGTTGGGTGAGTTTTGCTATCTCAATTTGTGCTCTTATTCTCTCTATTTCTAGTCTCTCCTCTCTTCCTTTTTCTTCTTTCTCAATGTGTATTCTCATTCTTTCTATTTCTAGTTTCTCCTTTCTCTCATTTTCTTCTTTCTCCTTTCTCAATTTGTATTTTCAATCTCTCTATTTCTAGTTTCTCCTTTCTCAATTTGTCTCTTCTGTTGCCATTCTTCTCTTTCCATTTTTTGTTGTTGTTTAACAAACTCTCGTAATTCACTGTCTTTTAACTCAAGTTGAGATCCTCTTTCTACCCATTTATCAAAATCTGTTGACCTGGTTACCGTATTTTTCGGTGTATAAGACACACTTTTCTATCCCAAAATTTGATGTCAAAATCTGCTTGCGTCCTATACACCGAAGGTATGAATAATATTGTTACGACAGCGGAAGTCACGTGACTCTGGTAACACGTAATGAGTATCTAGAAAGATCGAGGAACTTGTAGAACGTCCTTGCATTTGCTAGACTCGCGTTGTAATAGTATATAAGTGCGCCAGATAAAGCAAATTTAATTTAATCGAAATTGTATAGGAGACAAAGAGATTGAAGATATAGATGGAAAATTGAGTC